CCTGGAACATAACACCCGCGATAAGTGAGGGAACACTGTAATGCAAATGTAATAATAATACTAATACTAATAAATAGAGTAAAATAATACGTGTAATAAAGTAATAAAAATAACAGAGTAAAATAATCATTAACTTTGACTTGAGTATAAGCCAAGGGGGAGCCAAAATATTTTTTCAGCCAAAAATAAAAAGGACTGAAAAATTGGTTTATACTCAGGTATACAGTATCTTTGTTTTACCTTCTAAATATTCAAATGCAAGCCTCCATTTTCTAACAAAGTCTTCATTATTTCCTCCTCTAATGCCACTGTACAGCTTGGTCATTTGGATATAGACGAATAATTTTCCTCTCCGGTCTTTTCCCCACTTCCATGATTTTGCTATTATTAATCTTGCAGCTTCGAAGCTGTATTGACAAACTTCTATGTCTTTACTGATGTTTTTTCACCCATTAAGCCTAAAAGGCACATTTCTTGTTTTTTTACATACCTTTTTTAGTAATTATTGTGTTTGTTTCCTTGATTACCTATTCCCAAAAAGTTTGTACCAGCCCACAAGTCCACCAAGCATGGAAGAAGGTACCTTTATGTATTTTGCATCTCTAGCATTCCCCTGATGGGATTTATATATTTTGCTTATCACCTAGGGAGTTATATAAGTTCTTTAGAATTTTTTATACATGTTTTCTCTAATGAACCTAGCTATCAAAAATTTAAAATCTCTTTTCCATAAAGATTCCCATTTTTCCAAATCAATTTTCCCCTAAATCTTTAGCCCATGAAATCAGCACTGTTTTGTTCGATTATCTTCTAAGTTGTATTCTAAAATGTATCTGTATAATCTGGAAATTGGTCCTTTATTGCCCTTCTCCAAAATGTCATCCAGTTCTGATTTTCTTTGGGGAAATTCTACTTTATTAATTTTCATAAATCTGTCATGTAGTTGGAAGTAACAAAACTAGTCATTGGTACTACCTAATTCTTCTTTGCCCACCTTAGCACACTTTGCCCAAGCCCATGAACTGTATGTGTTCTCAGGGACAGTTTCAAAGTGACCCAGATCTAGAGAAAGTTGTGTCCTTTTCAGAGATTTCATCCTCCCCTCGTGCCCCCTCAGCTCAACATTTATGGATGGATCATGGCTGAGTTAGAGAGATAGAGGAGCTGGAAGTGTCTGCGAAAACTGAGACATATTATTCAGTTGTACCTGCAAATAAACTGCTGATAGCAGCAAGCTTGGCCAAGGAGAAGGAGTAAAAATGTGTCTGGAAACATGTGGCAAAGAGACTCAATAAAGACACTGCACCAGAGATCATCCCCAGGATCATGAAGGCTCGGGAAGCATTCAGTTTATCTACAGAGAATGAAAAAGGAGAGAGAAAAATAAGCAAAATAAAAAAGAGGTTAAAGAAGTATATCAAGGAATGGACTACAAAGATAAAAGTAAAGGTTTCCCTTGACATTAAGTCTAGTCATGCCCAACTCTGGGGTGTGGTGCTCATCTCCATTTCTAATCCGAAGAGCCGGCGTTGTCCATAGATGCCTCCAAGATCATGTGGCCAGCATGACTGCATGGAGTGCCGTTACCTTTCCGCAGAAGCAGTACCTATTGATCTACTCACATTTGCATGTTTTTGAACCACTAAGTTGGCAGAAGCTGGGGCTAACAGTGGGAGCTCACCCTACTCCCAAGATTCAAACCACCAGCCTTTTGATCAGCAAGTTCATCAGCTCAGCAGTTTAACCTGCTGCGCCACCAGGGCCCACTTCAGTGTGATGTAATGCTTCCACCCAAGAGCAAGTATTAGAATTAAGGAAGAAAGAGGCCATACCTGCCCCTTCAACTGTACTGTGAGATTCACACAATCTTTTCCAACAGATGGCTGCATTATCTATGGGGATGTGACATAATTTAGCATATCCTGCCTTAGACCTTGGAGGGGATGAGTGGGTGTGTAAAAAAACCTCAAAGGGCTAGAGGTTACAGTTTTGGTGGTAGAAATGCTTCCAGAAGCAAGTTGGAAGCAAGAATATAGCAACACAACTGATTTATAGGTGCAGTTTGCTCTTTCAACAACAAAAAAGCGTTTTTGTATGTTTGGACATAGAATATGGGCAGGGGACCACAGTGGAGGGCTGGACTGCAGTCAACTAATGGAGTGTATTTCTCCAGTGTACATTTTGGAGGTGTGCACATTAAACTTGCACAACAATGAGACACTCAGAGAGGTACAGCAGTTTGAGTGTTGGACTGGTGAGAGATGAGGGCTCAAATCTGTCCATAAAAGCCCTGGGTGATATCAGGTCAGTCACATTCAGCCAGAGACGATATTGGCAAACTCCCTCTGAATCAATTTTGCCAAGAAATTTCCATGATTGATCCATATCAAGACATTCACATCAACAGGCTGAAAATCTGTGAACTACCTAGATCATGCATTTTGCCAAGACAAAGATATGAAGAGGACCTCAGGGTATAAATAAATATTTCTGTTCCCCCAGTTTTGAAAGTGAGGAAGAAACTTACCTGTAGGATCCTGAATGTCATAACAGTTAGAAAGGGTACAATTTTTCCATAGTCCTTCGTGTTTACTACTGTCTTCCACCCAGTAGTCAGTGCCAAGGGCAATGAGGAGCAGCAGAAGGCTGATGAAACAGCAGACTGTAGCACAGATTTGCAGGATGTGCATTGTGGGGAGTGTTTAATCTGTTACTGCACAATGCAACCGAAAAGAACCTGGGGAAACAAAACCTTTGTGTTAATTCATATTAGATATAGCATGTATACCATACTATTCAACTATTCTGATTTGACAGGGACAGTACTGATTTGTTGACCCACTTTTTCAGATGCTTTTAAAATGCCCCAGTTTCTCTTTCCTCCTTCCACTACCCCCTGTGTTCTCAGCTTACTTTAATTGCTGCAAGACAAGGCATGAGATAAACTGAGGACATTAATCATGCATATGGTACATCTCTCTCATCAAAGAACTAAAGAATGTTTACAATTGAGCCCCCAGTGGCACAGCAGTTTAAACCGCTGAGCTGCTGAACTTGGTGACCAAAATGTTGGTGGTTCGAATCCAGGGAGCAGAATGAGCTCCTGCTGTTAGCCCCAACTTCTGCCAACATAGCAGTTTGAAAGCATGCAAATGTATCTCAATAGATACCACTTTGGTGGAAAGGTAATGGCACTCCATGCAGTCATGCCAGCCATATGACCTTGGAGGTGTCTACGGACAATGCCAGCTCTTCAGCTTCAAAATAGAGATGAGCACCAACGCCCAGACAGTACAGGACTAGACATAATGTCAGGGGAAAACCTTTACATTTCCTACAGTGGGATAGGGAGACGCCTGCTATCCAGGCGTGAATGGAAGAAACAAAAACATTCCTGGGGAAATGTGAAGGGTATAGGACATGGAAAGAGTCCCCTGCCTCTCCCCCCAAAAATGTAAAACCTGACATTCCATAGAGACCTTGAGTAAAAGCAGATGTGAATTTGTTTAGTGGGGGCAAGAATGAGTAAGCATTGTGGAACATTTCAACAAGGGTTACCATGTAGGCGGTTAAATAATGTATCCAATGTATGAGTCGAAGATGGATCTATAGTTATTTTTAATTTAGGATGCACCGACACTGTAGAATGAATGCAGTTTGATACCACTTTAAACTGACATAGCCCAATGCTATGGCATCATGGTAGTTGTAGTTTTATAAGGTCTTAAGCTCCTCCACAAATGAAAGTTGATGACTCTCTAAACTACACATCCCAGGATTCCATAAAGTGATGTCAAACTGCCTTAATCTTAGTATACAGTTTTAGTACTCTCAGTAGAAATTAATAGTTCCCACACCAATGACACAATAAAATGTATGTTTAGAAAAATGACAAATAAATGAATCTCTTTGAAAAATCACATGACAAAATGAACAGGTTTCTCTGTAAGAATGATGAAAGGAATCATTCATCCTGAGATGGTGTTTTGACAAGAATCCTGAATGACTCTCAGAAGCACAGAGAAAAGGACATTGTCAGCCTTTCCCATCCATGTTCATGACACCTATCTAGATTGCAACAAGTCCTGTTATTTTAAGGCTGCTTAGTGAGATGATTACCAGTGTATACAGTACACACTGAGTGGAGGCTGTACTCTTTTCTAAATATCAGCGATGAGTGCCACAGCTTTTCTAAATTGTAAAGAAAAAGAGAGCCACTCCTCGAAATAGGGTTTTTGCAAATGTCAGATTTCAACCACAATGGATTTGGGATTATAATGTCATTTAATGAGAACAGGGTGGATGCTGGACAAATATGAGGAAGTACTTAGTAGAAAGGGCTGGACCACCAGTCATGCATATACAATTCTGAATGACTAACTTTCTGAAACACTATTACTTTTTTGTATACCCCAATCAGTTTTCCATATATAATATACTTAGATCAATGGCTCCCATGCTTTTTTTTTGACCAGGGACCACTTTGACCAGGGACTACTTGACCAGGGACCACTTTGACCAGGGACCACTTGACCAGGGATCACTTTGACCAGGAACCACTTGAACAGGGACCTCTTTGACCAGGGACTACTTTACCACAGACCACTTTGACCAGGGACCACTTGACCAGGGACCACTTGACCAGGGACCACTTTGACCAGGGGCCACTTGACCAGGGGACACTTGACCAGGGACCAGTTGACCAGGGACCACTTGATCAGAAACCACTTGACCAGGGACCACTTGACTAGGGACCGCTTGACCAGGGACCACTTTGACAAAAGACCACTTTGACCAGGGTCCAGCCTCCAACATTAATGCCAAAAGGGTTATGAATCAGTTTTCAGTCAACTTTAGATTGGGTTTGGGGTGCTGCTTCAGAAAATTGCATTGGATAGACCACATTAGCTCTAGTTTCTGATACAGAACATATGCCATGGTCAGAAACAGGGAAGGAGTGGCAGGCGGTGTGAAAGGAGCACACAAGTTTAGAACCACTGAGTTTGATGGTGGTGACATCACTGGTACAAAATTCAACTTTGGCTCAGAGTCGATACCAACTTTTTCTTGATGAACAGAAAAATGAAATATATGGAAAAAAAATTGGGTGGAGGGCAATTTTGGAAATTTCAGCTCAGTTTTCAAGGGTGCCAATATTATTTTTCACACAGTAATTGCACAAAAAGTGGGGAAGTTCATAAAAAGAGTGGGTGGTTATTTTTTTAACTTGTCTGCTTAAAAAAATTCATTAACAAAAAAGCTAACTTATCTTAAATTTGGGTGTTGATACTTTCTTCTTCTCGTTTGGTTATGGCATTCTGTTTTGCAGTTACAGATTCATAATCTGTTCGCAGATATTAAACTGCTCCATATCAATAAGTAGTCTCTCTGTAGAACTGCATAAGTATTTTCCCCATCCCACATGAACAATCATATAGAGGAAATCATTTCAGGTTCCAGTTGGGCACAAGAAGGATTATGTTTCCACACTCCTGCTGCCAGCAAGAACTTACAATGATCCTTCATCTAATTATTTTGACTTCATTTGCTGGCGGAAAAGACTTGGAAACCTCCTCTTTCTTGTACCTCAATTTGAAGTTGAATGGATGTCCTTTGCTGGATCCAACTGCTGGATATTAAGGGAGACTCTAGATGTTGGCCCAGGATATATTATTTAGTAACACACTTAGGCCAAGTAGCTAGTGTAGAATATCTATGAGTGTTTTGAGTATTATGAGTTCTGTTATGGTGGTAGATAGTAGGAGATGGTAGTGACAATCACCCCACCATCCTATCTGGTTTTCCTCAATGTTCTTTCACTTGAATCTCCTATATTTAAAATTTGCCTTTGGACTTTGTCCAGCCATCAGTACTGAACTAAAATTCCACTGACAGTCAAGCTGTTTTCTGTATGAATCAATGAAACTTTTCAATTCAAAGCTTATGGGAGTCCCATTATTTCAGTAGTTCTTACTCTGGCTGAAACTAATTGTGGGTTTAGTTTCAGTCAGTTGTCTAGATGGGACTTGTTTCAAACAGGCAAGAAAATGTTACTGAACTTCATACAGCATCTGGATAATGTTACCTATTGAAACTTCTTGTTTATGACCTCTTGGCTACAGTGAAGTTCATAGGGGTGTGCAATTTGGTTAAAGCCTGTGTCATTTTTGGTGTCCTGATTTAGGTGCTTCCGTCCCTGATCTGTTTTTTGGGAGTGTCCTGAATTAGGGCAAGCAAAATTCTGTTTTTCAATCCAGCATTTCTATACTTTTCTCTGCCTGAGTGAGATTTGTGGCATTTTGAGTGGGCTTATTTTGCACTTTGGTAATTTTTGTTTGAAAATTGTGCAATGTTTTTGCACAAAATTATGCAACCCTTTTGAATGAATATTGTTGGGGTTTTCACAGAAATACAGTGCTGTGTGCGCGCACACACAAACACAAACCCTTGGGATCTTGAACACCTTACAGATTTGGGATTGACAAGTTGCACAAAATTTAAAACCAAAAAAACAAAGTACATAAGCCTGTCCAATAATATTTTCTGTGCAAAAATATCATGTGAAAATTTTGTGTAAAATAAATTCCAGACTGCTAATAGGCTTTGCAAACTCCACAGGTTTGTAACTCATATTTGCATTTTTCCCAAAATATACATACTTTAGGGTAGTGGTTCTCAACATGTGGGTCCCCAGATGTTTAGGCCAACTCCCAGAAATCCTAACAGCTGGTAAACTGACTGGGATTTCTGGGAGTTGTAGGCCAAAACACCTGTTCTAGAGCTCTCTAATGGAGACTTAGATTGCATTTTGCCCCTTTGCGCCTTTTCCTCATTTGAGTTTTTCTTTGAGGATATTATGCTTCTTTATTACTGGCCTGATCACCCATCTTCTAAAAGTTCTTCTGTAGTCTGAGACAATGAATATTTAAAATTCTTTTCTCCTTGCCACCTCTTAGTCATTTAATATGAAGATGGTAAATAAATGTGGTCAGTAATCTGGGTCTTGGAGAAAGATTCTGCAGACTAGGATTGGAATCTGTACTCAGCCATGGAAACCCATTAGGGGACCTTGGATAGGTCCCAATCTCTCAGCTTCAGAAGAAGGCATGGGCAAACCAAATCTTGCCAACAACCCTTCTTCCTCAATACTTAGACCATAAGTTGAACACAACTTGAATACATACAAGAACTCTAGCTTTGTCTGCATACTGTGCATGGAATCATCTGTTGAAAAGATGAACAGCAGTTATGTTCATACAACTGAAAAGCATGAAAAGTTAAAGCCATACCATGCAAACTCTTTATGAATAAATGATGAACAAAGTTGAGATAACTGATCCAGGATCTCTCCGTAGAAAAACAATTCTTTCCTAGAAACATGCCATTTACCTTGAAGCTGGAGTTCCTTCTCTTTTTCAAAGGAGATCTCAGACTGAGATTGTACGATCTGAACTGGAGACGTGGGTATTCTCCGTTTTCCTTGAAATGTCTCAAAAGATGATGTGAAGAGCAGAAACCAGGAGAGAAGAATTGAATGGAAGATCCCTTCCTCCTCTTACATATTTATAGTTGACTCCACCTTGAACTTGATTCTTTCTTTCAAAGTTTCAAGGTGGAGTTGGGCCTGGTCTACACATTTCAGCAAAATGGAATTTATAATGACAATGGTGAATATACTTTTGGAATTATTGGGTGGCGGGGGGAATAGCAAGACCTGTTTTGTTGGGTTGACTAAAACACATTTATTTATTTAACCTTGCCAGGATTTGTAATAATCCTAAATAATATGCACAAAACAAAGAAAGCAGGAGCTACCTCGTCTTGTCCTTCAACTAAAAAGAGGCACACCTAATCATGACTTAGAGCTCCTCACCTGGACACGCCTTTTCAGATGTTGAGAGAGTCCTAAATAGAGCACGGTCTCTCCCAAATCCCACATATATGTTTGGATGGGACAGTTTGACCCCAAAACGTGTTGATAACTCACTCTTGTGTTCCTGATCTGAATGACAAATATCACAAATCCTCCATTATATTAATGGAAGTGCTTAATATTGTTCAATGATGTTCTTACATACCTTGCATTTATTTATTTATATATGATGACCCTTCCTTGAGAAGCTAAAACAACAGGCCTAAATCCTGCTGTTAGATTAGTTTCAAGTAGAATAAACCCATTGAAACAATTGAGTTTAACTACATGCTGACTCACCATTGATGGTTTTATCAAACTTCTTATGTCGCTCTAAATTTCCTAGAATGATTCCCCTTGGGTGCCCAGCCTTTCAAGGAAGGGGCCTCTGAGGTGGGGAGCAGCGGAGGCAGCAAGGAGGAGGAGGCCACTGCTGAAAAGGGTATTTGCAGCTGTGTCCTTCTCCTTGCTGCCTCTGCTGCTCTCTGCTCCTTCCTTGCCCAACCTGGCGAGGAAGGGGCCTCCGAGGCAGGGAGCAGTGGAGGTGGTAAGGAGGAGGCCACCGCGAAGTAGGAACACTCTGCCCACTCGAGTGAGCACAGCGTCCCTACTTCACAGATTTTCACTTATTACGGGTGGTCCTGGAGCACCCATTATAAGTGAGGGATCACTGTAATGCTCTGTCTTTCTACTTCTCAAACAATCAGTTTCCAGTCGAGGTGTGTGACTCGGCAAAAAAACATACCCATGAGACACCCCCCTTTCCACAGAATGATGCTTGATTTATCCGTAAGTCATGTCAACATCATAATTTTGTTCTCAAATTCTGTCCATGACTAATATATCAATACTAGCTAAACCTAGCCATGCTTTACTGTGGCTCAGTTTGATATGAAATCAATGTGAAAATATTGTTGCGAACATGGATTCAGTTCAATACCCTGCCTTGCATTGCTGTGTCTATCTATATATATAAATTTGTTAGGGGCATCCAACGGAGAAACAAAACTCAAAAACCCCCCAACGAAACTTAACCAAAATTCCCATGCCCATAACACAACCCACAAGGTACAAACATATCTACTCAAAATGAAAAACAACACAACAACACACTCACAAAACGGCAAAACAACAAAACTCAAAAATCCCCCAACGAAACTTAACCAAAATTCCCATGCCCATAACACAACCCACAAGGTACAAACATATCTACTCAAAATGAAAAACAACACAACAACACACTCACAAAACGGCAAAAGAACAAAACTCAAAAAAACCCCAACGAAACTTAACCAAAATTCCCATGCCCATAACACAACCCACAAGGTACAAACATATCTACTCAAAATGAAAAACAACACAACAACACACTCAAAACGGCAAAAAAACAAAACTCAAAAAAACCCCAATGAAACTTAACCAAAATTCCCATGCCCATAACACAACCCACAAGGTACAAACATATCTACTCAAAATGAAAAACAACACAACAACACACTCAAAACGGCAAAAAAACAAAACTCAAAAAAACCCCAACGAAACTTAACCAAAATTCCCATGCCCATAACACAACCCACAAGGTACAAACATATCTACTCAAAATGAAAAACAACACAACAACACACTCACAAAACGGCAAAACAACCGAGCATGCGCATTGGCGCCCAGCCGCAAGTTCCCTGGCGCGCGCACATGGCCTTCCGGCCAACGTTCCCTCTGCGGAAACCATGCCCACTCCAAGCCCCGCCGCGCCGCTTCCCGCACACACACACACCCTGCCGCACACACACACACAACCCCACACTCCATCACTCCCGCCGCGCACACACACACCCCCCCCCACCCCCCGCCGCCGCACACACACACGCAACCCCACGCTCCATCACTCCCCCCGCCGCCGCACGCACACACGCAACCCCCCTCCCCCCGCCGCCGCACACACACACGCAACCCCACACTCCATCACTCCCCCCGCTGCCGCACGCACACACGCAACCCCACTCCCCCTGCCGCCGCACACACACACGCAACCCCACGCTCCATCACTCCCCCGCCGCCGCACGCACACACGCAACCCCACGCTCCATCACTCCCCCGCCGCCGCACACACACACACGCAACCCCACGCTCCATCACTCCCCCCAATCTTCCCTCCTTTTACTTCACGCCACCTCCAAACCCCACCCCGCCCCTTCCCGCCCTGTCAAAATCTAAGAAAGACAGGAAGGAAGGAAAGAAGGAAGAAAGAGAAAGGGAGGTAAAGAAAAAGGGGGAAGGAAGGAAAGTTAGAGAAAGAAGGAAGAAGAAAAGGAAAGAAAGGAAAGATGGAAGGAAAGAAAAGAGAGACAGCAGAAAAGAAAGAAAAAGGGGGAAGGAAGGAAAGAGATAGAGAAAGAAGAGGAGAAGGAAAGATGGGAGGGAAGGAAGGAAGGAAGGAAGGGAAAGAAGGAGAGAAAGAGGGAAGATTGGCCACAGCAACACGTGGCGGGTAAAGGTTGTTATTTCTATTATTATTATTATTATTATTATTATGATGCTATTGTTCCTATGAGACCCTGGGGGAATGGGAGAGGTGTCAGGTCCCAGAGGCAATGCATTGCATTATTGTTATTGTTATGATGGTGGTGAAATAAAAGGAAATAAAAAGTGAAAGAAGGAAGCAAACAGGGAGGGAAGAAAGGCAAAGGAAGAAAGGGGGAGGGAATGAAGGAAAGAGAGAAGGATGAAACCAAGTAGTGAAAGAAGGAAAGAAAGAAAGAGGTAGAGAAGGAAGAAATGAGAGAAAGGGGGAGGAAAAGGGGGAAGGAATAGGTAGGGACCTCTCTTTCATAATAGTCCAGATATCTACCTCAACTTTGATAAGTTTTACTATAGGCCACAGCAACGCGTGGCAGGGCACAGCTAGTGTGGAATAAAAAGAAAGGGAAGAAAAAGGTTTTTTCTTTCTTTCAGAAATCATTTTTTATTGTAAGGTTAGCGGATTAGCCACATTTTTGGTTTGTCCATTTTCTGCATAAACATAAAGATCAGATGATTCACACACTCTGGAGCATGCAATGCATAATTGCCTGTGAGAGAAGCAATTGTTTTCCAATTTCAAACCGCATACTCACAAAAATTGTCCCTGCGCTTTATTGATAGTTATAGCAAACACAAGGCATATTGGAAATTGAAGTCGAACACCAGTCAGAATGAGTGGTATTTGTGGAAATATGTCTTCACCTTTGTGAGGTCCATTCAGAATTGTTGCTTCAGTTAGATTGTTCATCAATTTTTAACTACTACTAATTGGCCAAGGTCCTGCAAATCCCATCATCTGTGGTCCATCCTCCTCCTATCAGCACCAGGACATGGTGGGTCATGGGGGTCTGTGTGACAAGTTTGGTCTTGGTCTGTCATGGGTGTGAGTTACAGTGGTCTGTGGGAGCCCAATTGGATGAAAGTACTCTACAATATAGAATTAATGCATTTTGATTCTATTTTAACTGCTATAACTCAGTGCTATAGAAAACAGTCACCAGCATTCTTTGGCAGAGATGGCAAAAGACCTTGCAAAGTTATGCCTGTTGGTCTCCGCCACCCTCCCTCTTATATTTCAGTGACAAGCCAGTGCAAGGTTTGTTGGGTTTGTTTTACGTGTTCGAGTCAGAACAAAAGACTTCAAAAAAAAAAAAAAGAGGACAAAATTCCATGTGAATATACACAAAAGAAAGAAAGTGTAAATACAACAACATATTTTTCTACAAGTCCCAACACATCTGTCTTGTCTTACCCTGTCTGAAGACAACCCAAAAGAGGCAAGTTCTTTCATCTGAGTTAGGTAGTAAAAACAGTAGTACAAGGGGAAAGTAAGAAAAGTGCAAATTTTGCCAACATTTGTGGGGGAAAAATATCTCAGTTTAATTATTGAGGAGGAGATCTCTGTGGTGGGTTTTGGTAGTCAAATACTTAACTGGTCACATGGGCATGCTATGAAAAGTTACTATGTTCCGGTTGGGCAGTGGATAGGACAGTAAAGACTTCAGGGCTTGTTGTGGCTTTCTAAAAGACCTTCTCAGTTGAGGCCCCTTGGCTTTGGAACTCCTTCCCCAGGGAGATCAGGTTAGCACCCTCCCTGTCCACCTTCCACAAGGACAGGGATGTTCGGCTGTGCTTTTAACTAGGCAATTCCCTTGACAGCTGACTCCAGTTAGACCCAAGCACTTTAGGATTGTTATATCCAAATCCTTAATGGTAAACCATTCTTACTCTCATTGCTGTTATATGATATTTGTACTTTACTCATTAGCTCTGTCCTTTAATGCTATGGCACCAGATTGCCCACCTATGACGAGACATTGAACTTTGCTATTGGTTGTTGGCTTTGATGTTCATTTTATACACTGTTTAATGTTGTTATTATTTTGTTATATTGCTTTTGTTATTATTTTGTTGATATGCATTTTAATGTGTTATGTTTTAACTGTTTTGTTGGACTAAGCCCCATGTAAGCCAACCCGAATCCCTTCAGGGAGATGGAGGTGGGGTACAAAAATAAAGTTGTTGTTGCTATTATTATTATTATTATTATTATTATTATTATTATTATTATTATTGCTTGGAATGAGAGAGTAAAGGGTGAGGGGGTGACTCAGGAAAAGCCCCATT